CACGCCTATAATTCTAGCACTCTGGGAGGCCAAAGTGGGAGGATCTCTTGAGCTCAGGAATTCAAGACCATCCTGAGCCCTGAGCAAGTGTGAGACCCCATTTCTACTAAAAATAGAAGAAAAAAGCCGGGTACGGTGGCAGGTGCCTGTAGTTCCAGCTTCTCTGGAAGCTGAGGCAGGAGGATCACTTGAGCCCAGGAGTTCGAGGCCATCCTGGGCAACATAGCAAGACCTCATCTTTAAAAAATTACAAATTAATACAAAGAAATTTAAAAGGGAGTACTTTCTGGAAGAGTGCAACACTTAGGTGAATGGTCCTGGGAGGGGCATGGCTCAGGGCAGCTCAACCCTCTGAATTGGGAGACTTGGGACTGAAAGCCCCCTCCCCTCCTCCTGACCCCAGGAAGCACCAGCCCCCACCTGCCCCTGGCCTACCCAAAATCTGGAAGCAGTCTTCCTCCCTGGCTGTCAGACAGAGGGCCTGCCCCACCTCCGGTCTCTCTGAGGGAGCAGCCTGGAACTCGATCCCCCTGGAGGTGTCCCCTTGCACCTTAGCCTGGCCAGCCTGGCCCGGGGCTTTCTCTCCTGCTTCCTTCTGGCTCCCTGCCTGGGCGTTCTTTCCTCCTCCTGCCTTGGCTGGGCTGGGATCCGTGGGGCTGGGGGTCACGGGCACCCCTTCAAAGGTGAGCTCCGACGCCTCGCTTAGGGGCTTCTTGGCCAGCAGCTTCTCAGAGCTAGAAGGTGAGAACACAGAGGTGAAGCCCTCAGCAGCCACAGCGCTGAGCCCTGCGCGACTCTAGGTGCCCCAGAGCCTCATCCGCAATCGGGGCGAACACAACCCCGCCCCGAACGCACAGGGCAATACATCCGAATTCACTTTGTACAAAACCAAGGGATCTTGATGGCTACGGTCATTATCTTGACCATCGACACACTAATAGTCCATTAGTAACTATTAATAGAATTGTTGATACGGTTAATCATCATGTGGATTCAACTAGGGAGTTACGGAGCTCTTGATTCACAAAAACTGTGGGGATGTAATTGATACTAATACATAATTATCAAACGGATACGGGAAGTGTTATTATTGCTGCTTACAATTTATCATGAATGACCTCATTAGCATTCAGGTAAATATAACCGATTGCATCATAAGACTGGTGCTATATTATGGTTGTGAAAGTATTAGTGATGATCCACCAATCCGGTTGTTAGTCATCTTTTCATATTATACCAATAACTTTATTAAGAAGAAGGGTTATCCTTTCTGCCTGACATTTCAGCCCTGCCCTTGGCTAGACCCCAGCCCATGGAGTAAGGGGAACTCTGGACCCCGGGTGCCAGCTTGGGCGGTATTTGACGGTCTCTTCTGCCAACATTCTGGTCCTCAATGAACGCAAAGTCCTGGTTTCTGCAGGAGAGCCGATGCCCAGGACAGAGGGAACTGAACGTCAGAGCTACCCTCCCCGGCACCAAATGTGGTGATGCCTAAGACAGGGCACTAAGTGCAACCCCTGAGGATAGAGCCCAGGACCCCCCAACTCCCGGGCAGGGGCAGGCACCTGGTGATGATGGCGGGGCAGCTGGGGCTGTGCAGAAAGGCGGGTGAGCCCCTCCTGGCCGCGGCCTGGCCCGCTGCTGCCTTTTTGCCCACCTTGGGCTCTCCAGGGTCCTGGCTGCCGGAGGCTCCCCGCTCAGCATTGGGCTTCTTGACACTGGCCTCGGCTGTCGCAGTCTGCTGGGGCAGGGCCGCCGGCTGCCCAGCACTGCCCTCTGCGGGCCCCCCACCCCTGTCACCCTCTCCCTGGGGACTCTGGCTGCTAGTTGAGGGTTGGACCAGGGCACCATCCCCTTTCTCTGGGGCAGGGGCTTTGGCATCTTTCTTCAGGGTGGATGGATCAGGATCTTTCTTTGGGTCTGGGGGGCCAGGGTCTTTCTCTGCAGCCGAGGGTCCTTTGTCTGCGGCATCTTTAGGTGTCTTGTCTGCAAAGGAGGTGAGTCAGTCACCCATCAGGATCCAGCCGCCCCCCACTCTCTCTCCAGACAGCTCCGGGCCCAGGTCCCCACCCAGGCAACAGCTTGCAAATGCTTGTCCCACTGAGCCTCTGGGGCCACTTGATGGGCCCTAGAGGTGGGCTACCAGGACCTTGGAAGCCCTCTGTGAGGGGCTTCTGGCCCTTTGGGTGGGCTGGACGGCCCCCGCTGTCCCCTGCCCAGAGAGTGTAGGCGCATCCCCAGCAGCCATCCATGGAGGCTTCACATCTTCCCTGGAGAGGGCTTCATACAGGCCCCGGACCCAGCACAACCCAGCCAGAGATTCTGCTGATTTCTGGGTCCCCATGCACCATGCAAAGAAGCCTCAGGCACAGAATTCCCACTGAGGAACCTGCCCAACCCTGGATTCAAACACCCCTCCCCAAGCTCCTCCCTCCACCTCCTGCCCCAGCTTGGCACCTGCTGTCGGGTTCTGGCTTCCCAGCTCCGCTGCTCCATTTTCTGTTGCCATGAGGTAGGGAGGTGTGTACTTCTGCTCGTCTAACTCAAGTCTTTCTAGCTGCAGAAAGAAGAGTGGGGTGTGTCGGGCTGTCAGAGTCCTCCTCTCATCTGGCTGTGGTGAGAGAGGAGGCCAAGCCCAGCTGGTGGAGGGGAGAGAGGTACCTGGAGCAGAGGGACAGCCCGGTGGCCGTCTGTCTCACAGCGGCTGCTCAGGAGCAGTCCTGGGGCAGTTGTAAGGGACTGGGCCGGGTGGGCAGAGGCGGAGGCAGGGGCGCGGGCAGTGGAGGCGGGGACGGAGGAGAGGATCTCTTACACCAGGGGCCATGCAGCTCGGACTGCCACCACCTGTCACTCTTGGCCCCCGTTCAGAGGACACGGCATTCTTCCCATGGCCCAACGGGGGGGAGAATGGTGTTGGAATAAGCAGGAAGAGCACAGGGAGGGGGCCCCTGGAGCCCTGGGGGAGCAGCCCTTTTCCCAGGCCTTGCCCAGTATTCATCAGAGAGGGGGCCTGGACAGAGAGGGGCTCTGAGCCAGGGCTGAAGGGCAAAACTGTGCCCAGGCTGGGCCCTGGCTCTGCCACCTGCGTGCCACATCTCCTGGGCTCTCCAGAACCTGGGTAGGGCCACAGGAGGCCCAGGGATGACCACCCGACCCCATGCCCAGCTCCGTGCCCCTGGCGTCCAGACCGATTTTGGTTGTCTTTGGGGGAGAAATGGTCGCAGGGGCACTTGCTGTACATGTCTGTGGGCCTCAAAGCTTTTTCTTTTGAAAATGGCTTTTCCTTGGGCTCCTGGGGAGATGGAGGCTGCCCCGAGTGGCGGTGGGAGATGGACAGCGCCCTGCGCCCCTCCCCGAGCTGACCAGTTCTCTCCCAGGCCCACCTGGAGGCAGGGGTGTTCGTAGGGGTAGGATCGCCCACTACAGTGGTGACCCGAGGGGCACTCCCGCCCGAGGTGTTCAAGATGAGATGCGACGGGAAGAGCTATGATCCGTCGCCCAGCGTCTGTCTGCCCAGAGCCTTTCTCTGGGGGCCCCTGAGAACCAGCCAGAGCCCAGCGCCCGGGAAGAAGCTGCGGAGTTGGCACCTGGGTTCAGGTCCTGATGCGGCAAACCATCCACTCCCCCCACAGCCTCAGCTCCTCTCACTGTCAAGTGCGAAAACAACCACCGCTCTCAGATGAGAGAGAGGAGGGAGAACGCAGCACCTCCCAGCGATGGGGAAACAGGTAGCTAAACGGTAGCTAAAATAGGTAGCAAAAAAAGATTGAGGAAGCTGTTAATGAACTGATATTAAGCAACTTCCAAAGTAGGGGGAAAAAAGCAAGGTGCAGAATGGCATGTGGAGTGTGCTATCACTTGTGCAAAAGGGGGAAATAATACAGATCTTTTACTGCATACACGTAAGAATTTCTTCGGCAGGATAAGCAAGAAACTGGGGGCCAGGGTGGGAAGGAGTCATCCCTGCACACCCTTTTACTTTTCTATTTGAACCATGAATTATGTGAACTATTCAAAATGAGTGAAATTTTTTAAGTGAGCAAATATCAAGAGTTCAGGATACAAGCTAGCAAAAACCAAAGTTGGGGGTCCTTCCCCAATCCTGACCACCTTTGCTCTGCCTGCCTCCAGACCTGGCCCTCCTCCCCTCTATTCCTCTTCTTCAAGGTCCAGTTGACAGCCTGCCTCTTCTAGGAAGCAAAAATAACAGCGAATGCCTGTGTAGCACTGGCCACGTGGTAGGCCTCGACCTACGTTAAATCCGCTCACATGGTCTTCATAAATGGCCATGGAGAGGTTAAGGAACTTACCCAAGGACACACAGCTCGTAAGGGGCTGAGCTGAGATCTGAACCCAGGTTCTCCTAAGGAAGGGAGCTCCCACGTACGGAGTGCCTGCTATTAGCTTTATCTGTCTTGCCTTTAAGCATCATCTTGGTAATAACTCTGTGAGGAGCGTTCATCCCATTTTCTGGATGAGGATGGGGAGAGTTACAGGAAGGAGTAGTTTGCCCAAAGCCACTCAACAAGGAAGGACGTTGAGCCTGGAGTGTCCTTCAAAGTCCAGAGTCCTCTTTCTTCCCTAGAATCTCCCAGCCTGTGCCTTGCCCATGTCTCCCTGCTGGGTAAGTCCTTCGTGGACCTTGCGGTGCGCTAAGGTCGAAATGCTTCCCGTCCATGCCTAGCACTCGGATCTCCTGGCCCTCCATCCGGTGGTCCCCACAGCAGGTTCTAGTGTAGTTTGAAAGTTTGCCGCCCAACCCCAGCCTCCGTTAGTGCCCCAGGCTGACCATGGGCTGCCACTGTCTTGGGGCCCTTCTCAGCTGGGCCTGGATGACGCCCATGTGCGTCCCCAGCACAGAGTGTCCTTGCCAATCAGTGTTTGATGAGTAAACGACTGAGTAACTAGTAAGGCTCTGGATTGGGGCTTGGGGGATTACTTCGCCACGATGGCCCTTGCTGACCTCCCCGGGTCATTATCGTGGTTAGCAATACCGATCATTTTATTGGGTGTCCACTAAGGCCCAGGACTATGCCAAAGATCCAGCTCATGGGATCCTCACAAGGGACTCTAGGGGCAAGTGTTGGACCATTTTAAAGGTGTGGAAGCTGATGCTCAGACAGGGTTAGTTACTGTCCCCAAAGTCACATGGCTAGTGAGTAGCTTTAAACTACCCAGATTCAAATGTAGAGCCACCTCCTGATGAGACCATATCCCAGATTGGGACAACTTACAGGGCATTATTTGCTACTTTTGTTATGTTATGATTCCCAAGTAATAACAACATTTATTGAACTTTTACTGAAATGGACCAGGTCCTGGGATAAACGACTTCATGAGTGTCCTTCCTCCAAACCTCACAACACCCCTACCACGTAACGATTAGGAGATCTGTCAGTGAGGCTCTGCCACCAATAGCTGTGAGCACGGCCCGATGCCTTCTCTCATTTCCTCTTCTCTAAGAAGAGCACCTGTCTCACTGCAGGGGGTATGTAAGCACTTAGAACAGTATAGACGTGCATAGCAAGTGCTGGATAAATTCCGCCTATTTCATTCCCATTTCATAGATGTGACAGGAAAACTGAGACACAGGGCAAAGTCACAGAGTTAGGATCGGACCCATCTAACTAACCCAAGGCTTGGCTCAGAACCACTCTGCCCCGTTGCCCCCTCTCACAGGGTGGCTGGGAGCACGTAGCCAGCACATGTATGTGGGGTGCTTGGCACAGCACCTGCAGCACTGTGGGGGCTCAATAATGTTGTAGACACCCCAGGTAGAGGGCTCAGCTGTCCCTGCCAGCTCCCCTGCAGTGCCTCCCCCTTGGGAAGACAGGCTGGCCTGGCTCCGGATCCATGGGATGTCTGCTCCAGCCAGCTGCTCCCTGGGAGTCCCCAAGCTTCTCAGCGCTCCCTTGGAGGCACAGGGTGGGGCACGGGGAAACCCTCCACCCACCTAGGGGCTGCCGGAGCCCCTGCCCACCCTTGAGGAAGAAGGGGCTTCCCCGCCCTGCACCAGCTGTGCAGACACCCTCTTTGCCTCTACAGGGGCAGAGCAGGAAGTGGGGCAATGCCAGGACCAATTAAACTTGCCAGGGGAATTAAGGTCAGCAGGATGCAATTATGCCTGTTGGATTTAACAAGGCCAAGAGGGAAGGTTTCTCCAGCCAGAATTCACGGCTCCTTAGGCCTCTTGCCCTGAGTAGCTCTGCCTTCCAGCGGCCTAGGCCTCCGGGCTCACCTCCGTCTGGGAGAATTTGTTGGAAGCGAAGGGGTTAACTCTACCCAGGCACTGCTTCCTTGGCTCTGGAGAGGGAATCAGCCCAGCCAAGAGGCTTTAAAAGGACCTGCTCAGAGGAGACATGCCCAGACTGACCCTTTCCCTGCTCTGCTGTGATGGAAAATCCAAGGAGTTGAGCAACCACCTTTCTGACTCCAAAGACAGCAGCCAACTCCCCTTACAACTTTCCCTCTGTTCCTGATTTGGGAGCCACTCAGGGCTGTCGTTAGCAGGTTGTTTTCTCTCGCCCTCTCCCTCCTTGGACCCCTGAGCCCAGAGCCTTGGCAGTACCTCTCGGGCCTCTGGAAAAGCCCTAGGTGAGGTTGCTGTCCTCACAGCAGACCCTGCCCTTCCAGGCACGGTGGTCAGCGGAGATCTGTGGGCATTCTGTGTAGCAAACTAGACATTGATTTCTCTGGAAACCGAGTCAACACACTGTCATCCCAGCAATAAAACTGCAGAATTTATTGCTAAGATTATTTACTGAGTGCTCTATTCTGTGGCAAAGATTAAACTGGTCACTTTGGGGACACAGAGATGAAGCTGGGGGAAAGCTATGGAATCACCACGTATGGCATTGTAGGTAAAAAAAGATTGCAAAAATCATCCATGGGGTGGGCTCCTTTTTGTTCAAAATATTTACAGAGATGACTGGAGGGACATTAAATGGACATATTAAGAGGTGTGGGAATGGAGATTATTTTTATTCTTCGCCTGGATTTTCCAATTTTTTCTGAAATGACCCTTTGTAACTCTTACCGGTTTAATCAATAATTCAAAATATATCAACATGGACACAGATTTCTTCAAATAAGGGCAGAAAATGATAAGAGCTCTAATGAAATATAAAACACTGTGGGCTTTCAGAAGCAGAGTCTTTGGGGCTGAGGTCATAGGGGATGGCTCAGGGCCTCAGAGAACTCACAATTCAGCTACTGCAGGGCTTCGCTCTGTGCCTGAGCCCCAGTGAGTTTGTTTCCAATGAAGCTTTTTTGGAATGAGGCCCCAGGAATGTCTCTATAAACCAGCATTTCAGGTGATTTTTCATGCACACCCAAGCTGGAGAGCCGCCAAGTCAGAGCTCCAGCTCACTGGAAAGCATTCCAAGAGCTTTGGAAGAGCACCAGCTTTAGGGCACTGTCCCGGGAGTCACACTGGCACCGTCAGTGGAGAGCTTCAAGGACACGTGTGCCTATAGACGGGGGCCACACCTGTCAACCCTGATGCACGCCGGACCACCTGGAGAGTTTTCACAACCCCTGAAGTTTGAGCCACTCCTGAGCTTAGACCAATTAAATCTGAACATTTGGAGGTGGGGCCCAGGTGTTGGTATTTATTTATTTATAATTAATTTATTTTTGAATTTTTTAAAAATTGGTTTTTTATATTTTTTTATGAAGCGGTGGGAGGTTGTGAGAAGGGGTGCTCAGTT